AATTTCAATTGCAGGTCTGATTCTTTTCATTGATAATTCACCCATTATATGGAAAACTTTTAAACAGAAATGTGTTAGTTTATCCACAATGGAAAGTGAATATGTATCATTATGCGAATCCGCAAAAGAACTCGTGTGGATCATCCGAATTTTTAAAGAATTTAAGAATCTGAACGTAATAATAACTAATGTAACTAGTTATCTCTTTTGTGATATTCAAGCGGCGATCGACTTTTCTAAATCACCAGTAGAAAATTCTCGTACTAAACACATTGATGTTAAATACCACTTTATCAGAAATTTAGTATTTGAGAAACTTTTCATCCTAAAGTATATCAATACCAAACTAAATTTTGCAGACCTCTTCACAAAACCTTTACCTAAAAGTAATTTGTCTAAATTTTTAAGACTTTTTGTGCTAAAATATAAAATTCCAAGTGCGTACTGGCAAATTTTTTCATAAAATTGTAAATGCTTCAGTGGCATGATTTTCATTATGAAAGAATTTTTCTAAATGTTTTTGTATTTGTATGTGATGTTGCCTGTCTCGTCTCGAGGAATTTAAATGCCCACGAGGATGTCAGCTCTTCATCGAGTGAGTGTTGCCAAAGGGTACGAGCGGCCTCTAGTACCGTCTCAGAGGAGGTGAAATTGTAAACTGCCAGAGTACTCGAATGTTCCGTTCGACTCGTTGGAGGGATGCATCATCGTCTTCGTCACGGGAGATGTTTTTCAATTTTGTAAGCCCTGTATTATGATAATGGAAGCTCCTATAGGTCCCCCTCGACTCCAGACAGCCTGCATGTATATACTTGAAATATTTTGTAAAAATTTCTAATGTTTGTATACATGTGAAACTTGTTATAAATTTTGTAAATAAAAAAAATTATGTCATGTGAAGTGAATGAAAAATTTTAAAGCTTTTTAGAGGTAAGCGAGAGGCGGGCCATTGCTAGGAAATTCTGCATTTTAAGCTAAGAAGCTTGCACCTTTTCAAAATTGTCTCTCGTACCTTTATTCTAAGATTTGAAGCATTCTTTCTTTAAGATTTTCACGTCATTTCTTTAAACTAATCACTGCACTTGACATCCATATTTAGCAGCTATTTAACCGGAATCGGATCTATCCGATTCCCGCTGCTGATATGTAGATCTGATTATTAACAGAGTCTATATACTTGTCTCTACTGTGTCATTTAAAAAAGAGAAAGAGAGAGAGAAAGAAAGAAAGGAAGGAGGTACGGTCCTCTAAGCATTCTCTCCTCGGAGAGACTTCAGCTGTAAGCTGTTACTGTACGCATAAGATATAGGACGAATATGAACCATGTTAAATGAAAATGCTATCTGTAAATATGTTCTTAATTGTGGTCGTCTAATAAATGTCTCTTTTAACTTATACGATTCGTCATTTCTAAAAGCTCTATCTCATGGAAATTCCACTGCATGCAATAAGCCAGGACGCTTTTAGCTTATTATCCAGCAGCTCTTCATAACTAGTGTTACTCAAGCTGCCTGTCTCTACTTTACGAGACTAACAAGTGATATTGGCAAACTCGCTTCTGTGCCTAACACTATTGATTGTTTTCTCTCAGCAACAAGTCTATGTATTGTTATAGGGGGTTGCTTTAAGTAATTATACCACTTTGATTATTGATGCATTTTTGCATTATTCAAATTTTACCTTTAATTTCTCATGTATTTACTCTAGATTGTTTTCAAACTATCGATAGTTTTTGTTCAAGTAATAAATAGATCGATGAATTGACCTTGGATTACTGAGAACTTTTTGTACTTCGTATCTGTAGATATGTATGGAAGTAACGTATGTAGTACATAGGTATTTAAAGTACTAAGTACATACGCATGTAATGTGATAAGTATGTATGTGAGTATTTTAGGTACTATAAGTACACATATAACGCACAACGTCGTTATGTATATATGTTAAATACTAAGTTTGTAAGTAAAAATTTACGGATATACGTACGTATATATGTACGTTCGTATGTGTGTAACGTCCGTCAGTCTGTATGAATGTAACTTACGTATATATGTATGTAACATATGTTCTATGCAAGGAACGCTCATACATTTGATTGCACGTATGTATTTACAAATCATGATTACGTATGTTTGTAAATCATTTTCACATTATCACAAATCATTTTTACGTACGTATGTTTGAAACATACATAAACTTAGTACGTTACATGCTTACGTACGTATGTTACATACCTATGCAAGTATGCTACTTAGACTAGTACGTACGTTACACCCATATACATATTTCATCCGTAAGTAAGTTGCATACACAAATACTTACGTTATAAACGTACGTACGCTTCCGAACGTTGCACACGTGCATATGAAACGTTCCTAGGTAAGTAACATACGCGTGTATGTACGAAGGTATATATATAACGCACATACATATATAATGTACGAAAGTATACAGGTTACGTACGTACGTATGCATGCCACATACGTACGTTCATAGTATATTTACATACTCAGATTTTACATACGTACTCACGTTTCATACATACTTACGTTACGTACGTACTCGCGTTTCATATATACTTACATTACATACGTACGCACGTTAAGTATATACTTACGTTACATACGTACTCACGTTTCATATATAAGTTTGACGTACGTTACATACGAACGCATATTTCATATTTACGTATGAACATACATCACATATGTACGCATGTTTCACATATACGTATGACGTAAGTTACATATGTACGTTTCAGACGTACGTTACATACGTACGCACGTTTCATATATACTTACGTTACATACGTACGCACGTTTTATATATACTTACGTTGCATACGTACGCACGTTTCATATGTATTTACATTACATACGTACGCACGTTTCATATATACGTATGACGCAAGTTGCATATGTACGTTTCAGACGTACTCTCGTTTCATGTATACTTACGTTACATAAGTACTCATGTCTCATTTATACCTACTATCGATAGTTTCTAAACTATCGACTGAAAGAGCACCTATCGATAGTATCGCCTGTAATAAAACTATCGATAGTTTCAGTCGATTGGTAGGAAAACTATCGATGTTTAAGGAACACTAATTCAATTCAAGGTTATGACGTCACCTCCTCTTCAACCAATCAAATAGCCAGCTGCGTTCCGGAAAAGTGTCGCGGGAGAAAACTCGCTCGATAAAAATAACTTTCATCTGCCCAGGAAAAAATTAATTAAAAAAAAAACGGAATAAGATATTTTAACTGTTATTGCTTTAAATCCGGCAGAACCGTTCTAGTTATAAGCAGAAAAAAATTGAAAATAATAGTGTTATTAGAAAGTCGGATGTAACAAATTTAAAAACAAAAAAAACAAAAAAAAAATCAATTTCGTGGCAAAACTGGCTATTTTTTAAAAATTTCTCAAAATTGAGTAAATTAAGTTAGAAATTCAAAATTAACTTCATTAGAACGGAAATCGTGTGCTCTTTTCGATGGTGTGTCTATTTTTTTCGTACAGTTATCCGAAACCATGCTATTAAGAAATTAATGCGAAAAACCACCCAAAACAATAAATAAAAAATTTCTAGATTAAATTTTAAAATTGCGGCTTTGAGGTGCATTGAGTCACCATTACGACTATCTGTGTTCCAAATTTCATGGCTGTGAGTGCGATAGATTCGTCTGGACATCGCACGCACGCACACACAAACATAGCCTTTTATAAGTCTAGATTACTTGTGTTTTTATTTTCAAAGTTGAAATTAATCAGGGTTTTCAACTTGGCCAGTATTGTCTCGACACTAATTTTATGGATGCGCGGAAAGAAGATAGACACGCGTCGAAAGACCTGACTGGACAAGTACATACCTTTCTTTTCACTCCTGCGCATGTAGCGCTTTTCTCTTCTGCCGTTCTATTCTCTTATGCGCGCTTTTCTCTTTTTCTCTGTCTTCGTATGTGTGAACTTATTGTCAAGACAACCCAGGTCTCGTGTAAACCCTACTTTATTCGTTTTCAAATACGGAAACCCTCCGCGTTTTTGCGCTTGAGCCAGTCGGCTTTGATTTCACTAAAATAGGGTGAGATGAAAAATGGATGAGGGGATGTTTATTTTTTTTTATCAAGCCCTGTATAGAAACATTACAGAAGATTCGAATTAAAACATAATAGTACAATTCAAAAAGAAAACCCATATTAACTTGGGAAAAGAATAGCTAAAAGCAAACCGCGCCTAACAAAGAACTCCGGAAAAGTGTTCTTCTTACTCACGGCATATTACCCCTCTGCAGAGCAAAATCGTTTAAAAGTGGCTTTCTGAAACAGACAATAGCTTTGAGATTTATTTGAACTGCTTCATCCATTTTATTATTTTAAAGAAATTGATCCAGTAAAACAAAGTGTGGTATTTTAGACATATTTGAAGAAAAATAGTTAAAGAACGCCTTACTGTTAGCTTGGATTTACTTTGGTATTAAAATAAAGTCGTTTTCTCACATTCTCTGTTATTTTAAACATCTAAGAAATGGAATCTCTAAAATGGAATTCAACCAATTTGCTCTGGAAATGTGTTTTTTGTTTTTCGCACTTTTCATATAGACATGATGTATAGGCCTGCAAATTCGATTTTCGAGCAAAATTTTCAAAATCAAGAAGGGATGAGACATTATGAACTTGGCATTGATATTGTAGAATAGGCGATCATTCGTGTTTATGAAAGGCGTACAAGGTTTTAACGAATTAATGGTAGTTAACAAACGCTATGCTTTGATACTATTAAGATGCTCAGAAAATTAAGAGAAATTGATTTGATTTATCTTAATATAATTTTTTCGACTAAAGTATGCCTTTGTTGGGGATCCTGTTTAGAAACGAATTTGTAGTCATGAAATTTAAACGAATCACTGGACTCTTTTCAATTCTTAGAGCATTCAGGAGTTTTTTTTTAAATATTTTTATTGTCCAGGCCGACTCTGCTTAAAAATGCCAAGAGCACGTGGTGGTCACCCTCCCGAGTACTGACCGTCCCCGATGCTGATTAACTGCGGTAATCAGATGAGAACTGGTGCTTTCAGCATGGTATGGCCGTTGGCACATTCAGGAGTTTACACAAATTCCCAAAACACAATTTTTGTCTCTAAAGGGTCTTTAGATATCTTGCACGAAGAAATTAAACCTTTCGCTACGGCGGTTCGCTCCTTTGAAACTGCGCCAAAAGTTTATACATTGCGCGTGGATTGTCTATGAATTTGGGTTTACGTCTTACGCCTGAACAGCTCCACCTTGGCATGCTCTCGGAGGAAAAGGGACTTTTCTCTTAAACAATATAATCATAGTTTGTACATGAACAATAATTATTATAATTAAAACATAATTAATATATTTAATATAAAGCTTAATTAATGTTCGAGTGAATGCTGTCGGTGTTAGTAGCGAAATGGTTAATGATCCGGTTAGTAAGAATTTTATTGATTAGTGTGTTTAATAAGAGAAAACATTTAATCTCTTATTCTACATTTAAATGTTTTATTAAATGCAAAGGCATTTGATATGTCAGCATGTTTCAGTTTAGCTAATTTGGTTTAGTTATATTAACATCCTGTTTCGAAGCATCACATCAGCATGTTTCGGAGTTCTTTAACCCTTTGTATCCCGAATTAATTTACCACCAAATTTGCAATTTTATTTTTGAACCATTTGATAAGTTTTGGAGCAGAATAGTTCCAGGATAGAGGAAAAAAAACTTTTTTAATTAATTATAATAACTTAATTAATTAATTAATTAATTTTTTTAAAATTTCTGCCTTCAGCTGCTATCTGCTTCTTGCTGTTGGAACGACATTCATCGTGTTTTTGCGAATTCTGCCAAGAAAAAAGTTCACGTTGCAAAGATATAAGCGTGATTAAAGTGGGACTTTTAAGTACCGTCGGGATAAAAAGGGTTAAGTAACGAGAATCTTCATCCTTTTGTCTTACTCAAAGTGTGGGTTCGAATCATGGTCGAATTTTGAGTTTGCTGTATGATATCTTGGAATATTTTTGGAGAACTCACTCCAACCAGAGCCATAGTAAAAGTAACCAAATTATTTTTTTTATCGTATTTAGAGGCTGGCTTTGACGGTATGAAGCCAAAATTGTTAATATGAGGGACAAAATTGTTTTGTGGCACCTGCCTCTCTCCGATGTTGTAAATTCGCATCCGCCGTAGCGCTACGATGTGTGTCGAATAAATTTTGAACCTGCACCAAACCTAAAAACATTTGATTAGAAACTTGCTACTTCATCGATACATTGAAACTCTTTGGCAAATGGCTATTTGCCGTCTTACGAGTACATGTCTCGTACAATAGCTTACAAGGATAGGGCACAACTTGGGAAATTCAGTTGGGGACGAAACTTGGCATATTAGTAGCATACCTTTAAGGTATTCACCCGTTAATCTAATAAAGTGGAATGACCAGCTAATTCAGAGAAATTGGCCCTCAAACTTTGAGCACAGCTTATATACCAGTAAGTGATCACCAGCAGTTAGCGGTCAAATGGCTCATGTGTCAGCGCGTTTGCCTACTGTCCGCTTGGTCAACGGTTCGGTCGTCGCATTTTTTTTTCCATTTTTATTTTTTCCAAAATTATTTAAAATTAAATGGAAAATTAAAGAAATATTTTTATTAAAATATTAATTATTTTTATGCATAAAATAACTGTTCATTCATATGATACTTGAATTATAGTTAAAATTTAATTTATAATCTGTAAAATAATTATAAATACATTTTAATGGTGATAAGTAATAACTGTAATTAAAATTGTAATCTTAAAATTCTTAAAAGTTTTAAATTATTGGGTTTTTATATTTACTAATACTTCTATTTTACCTTATCTTGAAAACAAGAGAGAGCAGATGTTAATGCATTGAATACATTTGCCAACTGTCTAATATTTTAACGATCGAATGTAAATAGTTGAGAGCAGATGTTAATCTATTAAATGCGTAGGCAGATGTTACAAAATTTAAATGATTGAAAAGGGACAAACGTGTAATTGTTTTTACTCACTATCGTATGAAATTCTTCTATAGTGCTACTCTTATTCCCTTAGAAACTCTAAACAAACGTGGTTATTCACCTTGGATTTTGAAGTGTTTCATATCGTTTTTTATTAAATTAGCATGATACAGATAGTTATATTGCTAGTGTATCGGAGATTGAAGATGGAATCGCGCAAGAATCATTTAAAGAACCGTTGTTCTTGTGAACAATCGTCATTAATTAAATGTACAAAATGTCAAAATATTTTTTCCAATGTTTCCATGATAATTATCATTCTCGTTCTTGTATGTAATGAAATGTAGAAATATGAATTACTTGTAGTAAACAAAAAAAAAATTAATTAATTAATAAATGTAGAATGAATTTTTAAAATTTATGAATGATATATGCCTATAAAAATGTTTCATGATGAGCATCATTATAATTATTCATTTATCACCATTAAAGATATGTTTATTAAAATTTTAATTAAAAATATTTCTTTAATTTTTCATTTAATTTGAAATAATTTTGAAAAAAAAAAAAAAACACTGCGAAGGCCGAACCGTTGACCACGCGGACAACAGGCAAGCGCGGACACCTGTGTATCCCCTTTAAAATACAGAGTGTTTCAAAACTGTTGGTAGTTACATTAGGAAGTGATAGAACACAACTAGACAAGCGCAAATCGCCATGCAACGTGTGCTCGGAATTCAACCAGTGAAGCGCTAGAGGGCGCTTTCCCAGCAATTTGCCCCATGTTATCTTGTGAACACGATGGCTAGAGTAATTTTGATTCCACTTTAATCGGCGTGATTAATATGTTTTAAGGACGGAGGAAACCTCAACCGAGTGCTTAAATGGGCCATCCAGCTCAAAGGGGGTGAAGATAGTGGAAGTTGAAATTTCCCTTTCCCTGTAACTGCTTTAATATTAAAGATAGAAAGATAATTCAAAAATGCACGAATTATTGTCTCATCATAATGAACAACTTTTGTACTGAAAGCTTTTCGATAGCTGCAGTTGCTTAGAAGTTAGGGGCTAAAAAGTGATTTTCGACTTCTAACTTCGACTACTTTTTAACCTAAGATTGTGATACCTCGTTGGAAAACTGTCATCGATTGCATTCTCTTACAACCTCTTTCATACTCATAGTTTAAAACACTCATAAAAAAATTGCAGGTGTAATTGGCTTGGGGGAGTAAAATTTTCTTTTCCTTCGGGGCCGTTCAAATATTACGTGAGCACCTAAGGGAGGAGGGGGTTTGCGATTTGCTTATTTTTGCTGACAAGGGGGGAGGGGGTATGAGTGATGCTTACGTAAGACATTAAAATCACTTTATTTCCGAAAATCTCTTGTAACTTGCAAAAATAATTTAATTAAAAAATTAAATTTGGCAAAAGAAAATTAAACTTGAATTTTTTTTCAATGATGTTCAATGCATTTTAACCACCCAAGAAAAACATTAAACGATACATGGGATGAATGTTCATTGAACACAATTGATAATAGTATCTTTCCTTTATAATAGCTGGGGGTGACAGCTCAATAATGTTTATGCATGAGGCTTATTTCCGAGAACTTGCTACTATTTCTAATTATGAGATTGGAATGAAAGGGACCAATATGTTGTATTGTGACAATACGAGTTTCAAAGGAAGCACAAATAAACATGTTACAACAAACTTGAAACTCATTGAATATT